CTACTTCAAGTGAGCCATTCAACAATTGCGCTACATTCCGAGTAAAAATTTCCGTACGACAAGGAAGTATTTCGACTCACGTACATACGTTCTCCATTTCAACACCGTGTTTACCTTACAAGGTCGAGCTCTGCAAGACAATAGATCGAAATGGACAAGGCAATATTTGCGTTCGATACGAATTTACGTTATTTAACGAACTCAATAACGAATTTCCAAAAGCTTGGAGTTGATAATCAAACTCATGCCATCACTAAAGGACGATTTCAACTCTTGCAAAATTACTGGAATAAATGCCAGGAGAATGCCGCTATCATTGAGGCAGTAGCAACCGACGCAGACGCGGCACAGCTTCCCTTCTTCAAGAGCAAGCTGCTAGACAAGGCGGAGGTCTCGTACATGCAAGCCTACGACTTCTTTCAAGAAAAACTCGAGGCATTCAACGTCGCTTCAATTTCCATTCCTGTACCAACGGCGGCCGCAACGACGTCCATCAACGAGATCCGATTGCCGAAGATCAACTTGCCTTCTTTCTCCGGTAATGTAACCGAGTGGCTAACGTTTCGCGATTTGTTTCTTGCGCTCGTTAAAAATCGCCGTTCCATATCGCAAGTCGAGAAATTGCAATATTTATTATCCGCGGTTACTGGCGACGCTGCTAAGTTGATTTCCCATCTTTCTCTAACCGATAGTAATTTCGATGTTGCATGGAAGGAACTCACGAATCGTTACGAAAATCAACGCGTTATTATTGACGCATATTTCAAACGTTTATTTACCATTCCTAATGTTTCGTCTAACGATCTGTTCGGGTTAAAACAATTACGCTCCAATTCATCGGAATCGATAAATGCTCTGCGTGCCTTGAAATGTTCTGTAGATGAATGGGATATGATTTTAGTCTACATTCTTGTACAAAAACTAGACAAATTGACGAGAAAAGATTGGGAAGTCAGCTTAGGTTCAGAGAGGAGATATCCTACGATGGAAAAACTATACGCGTTTCTAGATACACAAATTCGTTCGCTTGAGGCTGTATCCAAGGACGGAGATAACTCGAAGTCCGCCAACGGAAACTCATCCGAAAAGAGTTCCGGTGCTCGCTCGATTCCAAATGCGGCACGAAAAAATAATATAGTGCGTTCTCACCATACAAACACCGCGAGTACGTGCGCTCTTTGTTCCGAAACACATCGTTTAATGCATTGCGAGAAATTTCAAGCGTTAAGCATTTCGCATCGACTAGAGTTTGTTCAAAAAAATAATATATGCAAAAATTGTTTGACCAAAGGTCATTACGTTTCGAATTGTCGTAGTTCCTTTACTTGCTTGAAATGTAAAAGACAACATCATACTTTGTTACACGAGAATTCAAGGTCAAGTTTAACGACAACAACAGACTCTGGACAATGCGATAACGCGTCCAACGTACATTCACACGTGAACGCGGGAGTTAAACCCGTGCTCCTGGCTACCGCACGTGTTTGTATAGGATCAGAAAACGGTCGATATGTTTACACGCGAGCACTGATCGATCAAGGTTCCGATGCCACATTCGTTTCGTCACGAGTCGCTCAAATGTTGAGAGCTCGCTTAATTTCAACACGCGTAAAGGTATCTGGCATCGGTGACACTACGTCTAATTGCGTTCAACATGCCGTCTCTATTTCTATCAGCGCGACTAATAAAAATGATACGATTCTTCATACCAAAGCATTGGTCGTTCCAAAAATTACAGCGTACATTCCACCTCATTTCCAATTACAAGAGATTCCGTTTCTTTCCAAATTGAATCTAGCCGATCCAAATCCAAGCTCAAATGATGCAATCGAAGTACTTCTCGGGGCCGAATTATACGGTTCAATTATGATGGGTGGCTTAATGAAAGCTTCTAACGATGCTACACTTGCGCAAGAAACGATATTCGGGTGGATCATTTCGGGTCCTATTTCAAACCAAAAAAATAGCCAAAGAATTCACGTTCACCAAGCAACTTCTGGCAATCTCGATTTCGAACTCCGACGTTTTTGGGAGCTGGAAGAAATTCCAACGACACACGCTCTCTCAGAGGAAAATCTTCGTTGCAACTTACATTTTCAAGAGACACATATGCGCGATTCTTCAGGGCGCTATGTTGTCCGCTTACCCTTCAAGTCTGGTCCTCCGATAAAGATCGGCGAGTCAAGGTCAGTAGCTACGCGTTCACTCGCGCAACTAGAGCGACGTTTAGCCAATTCTCGGGAAATTTCAGGGCAATACGTCGACTTTCTTAACGAGTACGAAGAGCTCGGGCATATGCAAAAAATCGAAAACGTGCAACGCTTCTTTCAACCGACGTTTCTACCTCATCATCCAGTTATTCGCGAGGACAATACTACAACCAAACTTCGTGTAGTGTTTAATGCCTCGGCAAATACCTCGAATAACACTTCTTTGAATGACCATCTTATGATTGGTCCAAAGTTGCAAGCCGATCTTCCGGCGATTATTCTTCAATGGCGTTTGTACAAATACGTTTTTTCCGCTGATATTCAGCAAATGTTTCGACAAATACAGATTCATTCAGACGATCGCCAATATCAATTAATATTGTGGCGTACGATTCCGAACGAGCCAGTCCATACTTATTCATTAAATACCGTTACTTATGGTACTGCCTGCGCGCCTTATCTCGCCCAACGCGTGCTCAAACAACTTTCAATCGACGAGAGTTCGCGTTTTCCACTAGCTCAAGCAATTTTGCAAAATGAAATATACGTTGACGATGTCCTATCCGGAGGCGATGATAAACCATCCACGATTAAAAAACGCGACCAACTAATCGGCTGTTTACTAAGCGCAGGCATTCATCTCAGAAAATGGGCCAGCAACGATTTTGAAATTCTACAAGATATAAATCCTGCGAATCACGGTCTAGCAAGTTCCAAGCCTTTCCAAGAAGGTGAACAATTAAAAATACTCGGTATTCATTGGACACCTTGCGATGATAATTTCTCCTTTGAAATAAAATTCCGTCCACCATCTACCGACATTTCGAAACGACAAATCCTTTCGACGATAGCGAAAATATTCGATCCCCTCGGATGGGTGTCTCCGATCACGATATCTCTCAAAATTCTACTGCAAAAACTGTGGAAATTTTCCTACGGATGGGATGATATTCTTCCTGCGGAAATAACAACCGAATGGAATGCTTTTTGCGAAAAGATGTTACACTTGACGACTCTGCAAGTTCCTCGTTGGTTAGGCTTCGAGCGTAACATTCAGTGCTTGCATTTACACGGCTTTTGCGACGCTTCATCTAAAGCCTATGCAGCGGTAGTCTATTCAAAAATTGTCACGAATTCTGGCGATAGTCATGTTCGACTTCTCCTATCAAAAACCAAGGTTGCTCCGATTAAAACGATTTCGATTCCACGACTCGAGCTCTGTGCGGCTCAGCTGCTAGCACGCTGTATTTCGTTTACTATTGACGCGATGAAATTGCAAAACATTCCTGTGTTTTGCTGGAGTGACTCGACAATCGTATTAGCATGGTTGCAAAAGGCTCCATCAGATTTAAAAGTATTTGTAGCTAACAGAGTGTCTTCTATTCAAACGAAGCTTCCTACGGCGACATGGCTGCATGTGCCAACAGAAGATAATCCCGCAGATTGCGCATCGCGCGGCATAAATCCAGCTCAGCTAACGCCTTCCAGTTCCTGGTGGAACGGCCCGGCATGGCTGAAATTTAACGAGGATAATTGGCCAGTTCAATCTACGATAAGTTGCACCGAAGATGATTCCGAATTGAAAGCGTCAAATGCAGTCCACTCGCATCATTCAAATCGAGCGGAACTTTTTGAATCCTTCAATCATATCTCCACGTGGCCACGCTTACTACGGGTCACCGCATACGTCCTTCGGTTCAAGTTTCGAACGAAGAGTCCCAGATGTTGCTCAAGGTCTCTCTATTTTGCAAGTCGATGAAATAAAAACCGCGCACAGATTCTGGATTAAACAGATGCAAACGGAATACTTTTCAAAAGAAATCGTCGCTTTCAAAGCCAAGTCGAGGTTACCAGTTCGATGCTCCATCCATTCTCTCGATCCGTTCCTGGATCCCTCCGGTATCCTACGCGTGGGTGGTCGACTTCAACTGTCTGACCTTTCATATGATCGTAAATTTCCGATTCTACTTCCAAAACATTACCTTTCTAAGCTCATTATCGATCAAATTCATAAGGATACACTTCACGGCGGTGTACAATTAATGCTTCGCACGTTGCGAGAACAATATTGGATTCTGGGGGCGCGAAGCATGGTAAAAGGTTGTATCCGCAATTGCGTGACATGTACTCGGCATCGCGCCATAACCGGCGTACAATTTATGGCCGACCTTCCTACATTTAGAGTAACTCCGTCCCGTCCATTTTGCCATACGGGACTTGATTACGCCGGCCCCTTCGCAATTCGAGACGCTTCCGGCCGCGGACGTAAGTCGCACAAAACATACATCTCGCTATTTGTTTGTCTCGCTACACGAGCTATACACTTAGAGCTCGTTCATGATTATTCCACGGCTGCGTTTCTCGCATCTTTCGAACGGTTCGTAGCGCGTCGTGGCATTCCATCCGATCTTTATTCCGACAACGCGACTACCTATCAAGGCGCGGATCGCGAACTTGTTACAGCGATCCGACAGACTCAATCCGACGTAGATCTGCAGGCGAAGTTCGCGTCAAAGCCAGTTCAATGGCATTTCATTCCGCCTTCTGCCCCTCATTTTGGGGGCATGTGGGAGGCAGGTGTTAAGAGTGTTAAGCACCACTTGCGACGTATACTTGGTTCCTGCACACCTACGGTCGAAGAGTTCACCACGCTTTTATGTAACATCGAAGCATGTTTGAATTCGCGCCCGATCGCCGCACTTCATGACGATGTAAATTCTTGCAATGCGCTCACACCAGGGCATTTTTTAATTGGTAGCGCCATTAAATCGATTCCGAGTCCGAGCGTCTTACATATCTCCGAGTCACGACTCGATCGATGGCAATTAATGCGTGCGAAATACGAGCAATTTTGGAAATTGTGGAGTCTTGACTACTTGAACACCTTGCAGCAGCGTTTTAAATGGCAGAATCGATCTGATGAATTTCGCATAAACGATATTGTTCTAATAAAAAATCCTAATTTACCTCCCTGCAGATGGGAACTTGCGAGAATCATCGAATGTAAGCCTGACAAGGATGGCCTGGTGCGAGTTGCTCAGGTCAAGACCGCGTCTTCTACTTTTGTAAGACCTATTGTTAAACTCTGTAAATTGCCGGTAAGTCCGGACGGTTCAGCGTAATCTAAATTCTGCAGGTTGTCTCCAATGATTGCAGTTCAATGTGTAAGGATTTACCCCTGACTGTCATTTGAATCCCTTGGCGATTCAACCCGAGGGGTATGTTTGGGAAAAAATTAAATTTCCGTGATCCCCGCGCGCCTTCGATATACGCTACTGAGAGCTCTCTGTAATTGTGTACATCGACAGTTTGTTATTGCGTCCACAAGGGCGAAGCGCCGAATTAGGAGAGAGTTTCCGCGTCTTTAAAAAGGAGCGATGCGGCACGGAGGGCGAGTCTGGTACGACGAGCCGTCCGGTAAACCCGAGAAGAACATTTGTGATCCGAAGAATAAAAATTACGTATTCTTACTTAGAATAAAGAGACTAGTTCCTGCTATCTATCCTTGCCTATCGACGCAGTCCACAAGAGAGAACTAGGCGATAGCTCCGATAAAACCCAAAGGAGAAAATATACAAAACAGATTTCTTTACAAAAGGTCCCATTGAGTTCTGATTTAATAACATCGCCAAACTGATCCCAATTGACCTTCTTTAAGTTATAGAGTTGTCCTGTGATTACCTGATTTGTTTCTGAATTTTTATTGTTGTTATGTTCAAAGTATATACAATTATGGTCTGAGGAAGTCATTTTCGGGAAGACCTTCCAATCATTAATATCCTTCAGGACTCCACTATTCACCACAGTCAAGTCTATATTGGCCTCTCCTATTATAGTAGAGAACGTTGGTTCGTTTCCAGGCTGATTCAAAATGTATACATTTTTATTTATTAGGAAATCCTCGAGTAATTCGCCTTTCGCGTCGTTCTCTTTGCAGTACCAAGTTTTGGAGTGAGCATTGGAGTCCATTGATATGATCATGTCGTGGCTTTTGAACGTTTCTATTATAGTCTCCAACTTATTAATAAAATAGTTTAGCTCCATGGAAAATTGACAATAAACTGATACCAAATATAAGTTTACTTCATTATGTACTATATGTGCGCAAGCTATATGTTCGTCCGTAAACTGTTCGATTTTTGTGACAGTTATTTCCTGATTATATACAACTATAGCAGCTTTTGTATCTGTCACCTTATTACTTTGAACAACTCTTGCACCAAGTGAAGCGCAGCCTTTGACTTGTCCTTGGAATACGTATGGTTCTTGTATCAGACACACATCAATGCCTTGTTCCTCTACTTTTAATCTTAATTCGTATGATGCCGTCTGCGAACGGCCAACATTTATTTGAAAGAATTTTATCATTATGTATAATCTATTTTATTCTTTACGATTTCAGTTACTCTTAGATACTCCGGGCATCTCTTGTCACTTACAGTATGATGTGTGTCTTTCCTTTTAGCTCTTGTACAATTAGCGCAGACTGCAGATTTCTCTCTCTCTCTGAGCAATTGGTGCTTATATGGCCCCCCCCCCCCCCACAGTGTCCACAAGTGGGGGTCTTTTCCTTGCAGTGTTTAACACTGTGGCCTAAGCCTAGACAACGGAAGCACCTAGTCAAGGCTAAGTAATCATTAACCTTGTATGATCTCCAGTCAATATATAGTCGTTCTTGCTCCAAGAGTTTTCTTCTTATCTCTCCTGTCACCTCTATTACCCAGTTATTAGTATTTCTGGTTTTAACAAATGTGTTGTATCTGTATTTAACCCTGCTTTCATTTTCCTGCTTGGCGATTCCAAGTTTTTCAACATTCTTAGACCAAAATTGTTCCATAAACTGCTCCTTTGTGACCGACTTTTCTACGTCATATACTATCATACTGGGTCCAGTTTTCTTAGGCAGCTCTGTTTTCAGCCCGCATTCATTGTCTTCTATTATCTGCTGGATCTTTTTTAATTCGTTTCCACCTTCCGTTTCCACTAGAATGCCTCTGTCTCCCACCTTTCTCATTCTTTTAATCCTTATTTCTTTAATTAACGGATTCATTTTCTTTGTAAGTTTTTCTTTGACATCCTCACACGTTAAATTGTCCTTTTCATTTAAAGGCTTAACAATCATTACCGAAGAATTAGTCTTGAATCCGCTTTTTAGTGTAGTACGTTGGATAATTTCTTTTTTTTCTGTTTCAGATGCTGCTGTTCCGGACCATGGAGTGAACGCCACTTGAACATAGGACATCGAACTGATAGAATTTTTCGATGCCAGGTAAGTACACTTTAATTTTTC